AGGGTATGACAAGTCTTATTCTAGGGAAATGTCACGTTTTTGTTATTGTAATTATAAATTCGTGTTTTATTTTATTTTTTCAAAAATTACATTTTCCATTCTTCGAGGCATACCTGTTGATAGTCACGTATGTTAAATAACCTTCCACTTATGGACATTTCGAAATTTCACAAAAATGCAAATAACGTCAAACAATAGACGTAAGAAAATCCCAAAACAAGACAACGACAAAGAATACAGCACACCAAGAATAGCAAACGAACATCGATCGCATCAATGAGAAATCACATCTTCTGATTCACCAGCCATGTGCGAAGAACCGTTTTCAGAAATAGACGCCAGAGAAACAGAACCACAGAAAAAATGGAAAAACAAAACGCAACGAAATGCATACAACAACAGCAAAACAGCTGATGACCAAGTGAGGCTCTTGAACAAAAAAAAAAAAAGAAGAAAAATTAAATATTGGTATAAACAAAACAAATTCTGATGTTCAATACCCCTCGACTACTGTTGCTAATGTTTATAGCAAAAAAACAACAATCGAACAACCAAACAAAAGTCATAAGTCACAATGCTCCAACATACCACTTGCGAGCGCAGTAACCAAAGTAACGTGCCTCAACTCTGAGCGGTATCATGTGTGTGCGCCTCAACACGAGCAGAAACATTTATAGGTGTTTTGCTAACCACTGAGCGATTATTATTGCACAGTGGGATTTTTTGGCATTGAAAGCCAAGATTTTACTAGGCATATTTTCGTGGGAAAGGATTTTTAAGGGATATTTTAAAAGGACATAAAACAGTGAAAAAAGGGAATATTCTGTATTTCTTAATATTATGAAAAAAATGGGTGATACGAGGGTCCATTTTCGTATGGCAAAGTTATTATAACCTCCACCATAGTCTGTCCGTCTTTGGAAATCTCTCTAGCTTCCGAACGAAATGAAGTAGATTGATAAAATTTTACTCATATGTATATTATGTCTGCAGGACTTTTGGTATTGAAAATGGGCCATGTAGGTCTACGTTTTGGTATAGACCCCATATAATGGTGCCTCCCGATATTCGGTATTTTGATGATTTTAGCGACATTATTCACCGGAATTATTTCAAATTTGATATTTGAAGTTCGCAATAGATATTACAGCCTATGGCAGAAAATTGTCTGCGCAGGTCCACGTCTTCGTATAGACCCCATATAACGATACCTCCCATCATTCGGTATTTTGTTGATTATAGCAGCATTATTCACCGGAATTATTTCAAATTTGGTATTTGAAGTTCGCAATAGATACTACAGCCTATGACAGAAAATTGTCTATGCAGGTCCCCGTCTTCGTATAGCCCCCATATAACGGTATCTCCCGATATTCGGTATTTTATGATTTCAGCGACACTATTCACCGGAATTGTTTCAACTTTGGTATTTGAAGTTCGTAATGGATACTACAGCGTAAGGCAGAAAATTGTCTGTGCAGGTGCAGGTCTTCATATAGCCTCCATATAACAGTACCTCCCCATATTCCGTATTTTGTTGATTATAGCAACATTATTCAGCGGAATTGTTTCAGATTTGATATTTGAAGTTCGCAATGAATATTACAGCCTAACACAGAAAATTGTCTGTACAGGTTGACGCCTTCGTAGAGCACCCATATAACTGAAACTCCCTTTATTCGGTATTTTGATGATTTTAGCGACAGTATTCACCGGAATTCTTTCAAATTTGATATTTGAAGTTCGCAATGGATACTACAGCCTAAGACAGAAAATTATCTGTGCAGGTCCAGGTCTTCGTATAGGCCCATGTAACGGTACCTCCCGATATTTGGTATTTTGATTATTTTAGCGACAATATTCTCCGAAATTGTTTCAGATTTGGTATTTGAAGTTCACAATGGATACTACAGCCTATCATAAAAAATGGTCTGTGCAGGTCCAGGTCTTCGTATAGCCCCAATATAACTGCACCTCCCGATATTCGGTCTTTTGATGATTTTAGCGACATTATTCACCGGAATTGTTTCAAATTTGGTATTTGAAGTTCACAATGGATACTACAGCCTAAGACAGAAAATTGTCTGTGCAGGTAAACGTTTTGGTATAGCCCCCATATAACGGTACCTCCCGATATTCGGTATTTTTATGATTTTAGCGACCGGAATTGTTTCAAATTTGGTATATGAAGTGCATAATGGATAGTACAGCCTATGACAGAAAGTTGTCTGTGCAGGTCCACGTCTTCGTACAGCCCCCCATATAATGATACCTCTCTATTTTCGGAATTTTAATGATTTTAGCAACATTATTTACTGGAATTGTTTCAAATTTGGTAATTAAAGTTCGCAATGGATACTACAGCCTAACACAGAAAATTGTCTGTACAGGTCCAGGTCTTCATATAACCCCCATATAATGGTACCTCCCGATATGCGGTATTTTAATGATTTTAACGATATCCTTCACCCGAATTGTTTTAAATTTCGTATTTGAAGTTCCTCATGGGTACTACAGCCTATGACAGAAAATTGTCTGTGCAGGTCCAGGTCTTCGTATAGCCCCCATATAAATGTACCTGCCTATATTCGGTATTTTAATGATTTTAGCGACATTATTCGCCGGAATTGTTTTAAATTTGGTATTTAAAGTTCGTAATGGATTCTACAGCCTATGAAAGAAAATTGTCGGTGCTGGTTCACGTCTTCGCATAGCCGCATTTTATTATAGTACCTCCATATATTCGGTATTTTGTTGATTTTATCGACATTATTCACCGGAATTGTTTCAAATTTGGTATTTGAAGTTCGCAATTGATACTACAGCCTATGAAAGAAAATTGTCCGTGCAGGTCCAGTTCTTCATATAGCCCCCATATTACGGTACCTCCCGATATTCGGTATTTTGATGATTTTAGCTACATTATTCACTGGAATTGTTTCAAATTTGGTATTTGAAATTCGTAATGGATACTACAGTCTATGACGGAAAATTGTCTGTGCAGGTCCACGCCTTCGTATATCCCCCATATAACGTTATTTCCCGATATTCGGTATTTTGATAATTTTAGCGACATTATTCACCGGAATCGTTTGATATTTGGTATTTGAAGTTCCTCGTGGGTACTACAGTCTATGACAGAAAATTGTCTGTGCAGGTCCAGGTCTTCGTATAGCCCCACTATGACGTACCTCCCGATATTCGGTATTTTGATTATTTTAGCGACATTAAACACCGGAATTATTTCAAATTTGATATTTGAAGTTCGTAATGAAAACTACAGCCTAGACAGAAAATTGTCTGTACAGGTCAACGTCTTCGTATAGCCCCCATATAACGGTACCTCCCGATATTCGGTATTTTGATGATTTTAGCGACACTATTTACGGGAATTGTTTCAAATTTGATATTTGAAGTTCGCAATGGATACTACAGCCTAAGTCAGAAAATTATCTGTGCAGGTCCAGGTCTTCGTATAGGCCCATGTAACGGTACCTCCCGATATTTGGTATTTTGATTATTTTAGCGACAATATTCTCCGAAATTGTTTCAGATTTGGTATTTGAAGTTCACAATGGATACTACAGCCTATCATAAAAAATGGTCTGTGCAGGTCCAGGTCTTCGTATAGCCCCAATATAACTGCACCTCCCGATATTCGGTCTTTTGATGATTTTAGCGACATTATTCACCGGAATGGTTTTAAATTTGGTATTTGAAGTTCGTAATGGATATTACAGCCTATGACAGAAAATTGTTCGTGCAGGTTCACGCCTTCGTAGAGCACCCATATAACGGTACCTCCCGATATTCGGTATTTTGACGATTTTAGCAACATTATTTACCGGAATTGTTTCAAATTTGGTATTTGAAGTTTGTAATGGATATTACAGCCTAAGACAGAAAATTGTCTGTGCAGGTCCAGGTCTTCGTATAGGCCCCATATAACGGTACATCCCGATATTCGGTATTTTAATGATTTTAGCAACATTATTTACTGGAATTGTTTAGAATTTGGTACTTGAAGTTCGTAATGGATACTATAGCCCATGACAGAAAATTGTCTGTACAGGTCCAGGTCTTCGTTTAGCCCCCATATGTTCGGTATTTTGATAATTTTAGCTACATTATTCACCGAAATTTTTCTGTGCAAAAATTGCCTGTGCAGGTCCAGGTCGTTGTATAGACCCTAATATAACGGCTTCATTCTGAATTTTTAATTTTTTAACAGAATTTTTAACGGATTTTATTTTTTGACAATTGTCAAATTAGTTTCAAATTGTGGAGGGTATTAAAAGTTCGTCCCGGCTGAATTTACATCTTTTTTTTTGTGTCTACCCTCTTTATATTCCAACCTCATTTTACAAACCAATCAAACAGGAATGTCTAAACGAAAATCCTTTCCTCGATCCCTGAAATTCCCATTCACATTGAATCATACGATTATTACAGGACTTACAAAAATCCCATTCAATTTAAAATGAAGATCTCCCTTAAGCCAGTTGTAAGTCTGATCGAACCCATTGTGCAGAATTCCATTCGCATAGTTGAGATTGATTGAGAAAATGAGTGTGGGTCTTTCCCAGAGGTGGTTTGGTGTATTATTTTACAAAATAAACAAGTTGTAGTGTGAGAGGGCGAGAGAGAGGGAGTGAGATAGAGAGGTAGTAAACGTTTTTGCATAGAAGAGCGGTAAACAAAAATAACTACAACCACATGAAAAAAATATAAACATAATTTTGGGTAGCAAAAAAAAAAAAACAACACCAAACGCCCAAACATTTTGTGAGCGTTGTTTGGTAGGTGAGAGTGGTTGTCAATGGAAGAGTAACCTGGTCTTAAAATAAAAATGAGCAGTAAACAAACAAAAAAAGAGTGAATGTCTGAGCACCAGCAGCAGCTGGAGACAGGTTGTTTGGCTGAATGACTGGCTGGTATCTTCGAAGCGTAAAAACCAGCCAGCTAGCCTGCAAGCCACCTTCATCTGAGCCAATGTTGTGAGCTGACGGTTTAGTCATTACGAAAACCTAAACGAAGAAGGTCGGGTGTTGCGCCTACATTGAAATGGAAAAATAACTGAAACAAAAAAAAAAACTTGAAAGAAAAACGAGAAAAATAACGAAAACCTACTACGACTGCGCAAAAGCCTTTAACGAAAGAAAAAAAATATAAAAAACGGAAATTGTGTTGAAAAAAAAAAACAAAATTTGGGAAAATTTAAAAACTAATTTTCTCTCAAGTGATTCATAGTCATATTTCGGTTCGAATTTCGGTTTCTAAGAATCGCTCGCGACCATGAAACGTCTGAAAAGCATTGCCCGCATTGCCTTCGACCTGGTGATCTTTGTCGGCGTCTGCCTGTGCGAACTGGGATTACGCAAATGGCTAAAACCCCACAAACGTGGCTTCTTCTGCAACGATGAGTCACTGCAGTATCCCTATCGTGAAAGCACCATAACGGTGCCCATGATGGTGGGCATTGTCTTGGCGGTGCCCTGCTCCGTGATTATGGTAATAGAATTATTTAAGCAACTTTCTCCGCTGCCGGCGGCGAGCAGCTGTGAAAAACGCAAATCACCACAATCGAATGCCAGCAAACAGAGCGGTTGTCGTGTGGCCGAACGTTTGATGCACTGCTATGCCCAAATAGGTTATTACCTTTTCGGGTTGGCTTTGACACTGGTGGCCACCCATATAACCAAGAAGACAGTGGGTCGTTTGAGGCCCCACTTTTTTGCCGTCTGCCAGCCACAAATGCCGGATGGTTCGACCTGCAAGGATTCATTTAATTATGGCCGTTACATTGAGGACTATCAATGTTTGGGCCAAAATCACACCGAATCCACGCTGGGCCAGGTGGGCCAATCATTTCCCAGTGCCCATTCGAGTGTTTTCTTCTATTCCATGTTGTATTTGGCCTTTTATCTGCAGGCTGCCCTCAGTACCAGAGCCTCGAAACTCATGAAACACCTGCTGCAATTCACCTTCATCATGTTTGCCTGGTATGTGGCCTTGTCGCGTATCTCCGACTATTGGCATCATTGGTCTGATGTTTTGGGTGGCCTGATCTTCGGCTGTGTCATTGCCTATATTATAAGTCACTATGTGGCCCACATTTTTGTCAGAAGACCCATGCGCTTGAATTCGAATGTGGCGCCCAAGCCGCCAGCCAAACCTTCGGCGTCACCGGCCAATTCCTCGGGAAAGGCCAATTCCTCACCGCCCGTCTTGCCAGCCTATACATTTGGTACACTGCCTTACTTGCCACATCCCCATGCCACAGCAGCAGCGGTGGCTGCCGCCGCGGCCCAACAACAGGCACAATATGCTCAAACTTATCACAATTATGGTTATGTGCCATAAAGGAGTGAAAGTAGTCAATCGTCTCAACGTCATCAGCATCATCATCGTCTCGAACCCCAAGAGGAATAATAAGCATCATCATCCTCATCATCATCAACCAGCCAGGCCGACTCAAGCTGCATGTCCCGACTGCATGCCTCAACGATAACAAAGCTGCAGTTTCGCCAAAATCTGGATTTTCATTTTTGGTTGAAAAAATGAAAACACCCAACCAACCAACTCTCATGCCGAACGCAAAGGAAAATCATTGGCGAACCAATGAAATTGCGCGTAAAAACAACAACAAATTGTTTTTCTTCATTTTCGTTAATGATATTTTGCCTAGTTGTAAGCGTTTATTTAGCTATTTTTTTTTTCTTCTCTAATTTTTTCAATTTCAATTTGGCCTGTAAATTCTTGTCTTAACCATATTTGGTTAGCCACCAGCCGCTGTCCAAAAGAAAAACGAAGCAGACAAGCTAAGCTTGCCAATGCAGAAGTGAGTTGATCACGTTGTGTGCAATGTGTTGCAATGGGGTTGTGTGTTCGATGCCAGCTGGGTATTGGGTGTAGGGAAAAGTTAATGCAGAGCTTAAATATGGGAGTTCTAGACACGATACTGCATTTGAGAAGAGTTTTGAGAAAGGCATAGTAATTCAGCAAGCGTTTTATAGAGGAAAAGTCACTTCATCGAATTTTTTACTCAAAAAAGCAAATTTAGTTTAATTTTTAATTTTTTTTTCTGGATTGGAAATAATTTTCTTGTAGTGGAAAAACAGAAAAATTTAGGGAAAATATTTGAAGGATTTAAAAAGAAAAGGACAATTTAGTTAAAAAAAAAAAAACAAATATGGACTAAATTTTTAAGGAGAACCTAAGCAGTCCTTACTAAGAAATTAATCACGTAAATTTTTTTATAAAACAAAAATAGAAAGAAAATCAGAATTCAGCAGAATTTTTTTTAAAGAGATTCTAGGGTTTCTTTTGAAAAAAAAATTAATCTATAAAAAGGGTTGTTTGTAGACAAAAAAAAAATCAATTCAATTTGTTCGATTAGAAATTAATCACTTACATTTTTTTATAAAACAAAAATGGAAAAAGTCGGAATTCAGCTGAATTTTATTAATGAGAATCTAGAGTTATTTTTCCAAAAAAAAAAAGAAAAAATTGAAGCTCTAAAAAGGTTGTCTGTAGACAAAAAAAAATCAATTCGATTTGTTCGATTCGAAATTAATCACTTAAATTTTTTTTATAAAACAAAAATGAACGGAAAATTCAGCTGTATTTCTTTCAGTGAGAATCTAGGGTTTCTTACGAAAAAAATTGAAGCTATAAAAAGGGTTGTCTGTAGACAAAAAAATCAATTCGATTTTTTCGATTCGAAATAAATCACTTAAATTTTTTTATAAAGCAAAAATGGAAAGAAAATCAGAATTCAGCTGAGTGAGAATCTAGGGTTTCTTACGAAAAAAATTGAAGCTATAAAAAGGGTTGTCTGTGGACAAAAAAATCAATTCGATTTTTTCGATTCGAAATAAATCACTTAAATTTTTTATAAAGCAAAAATGGAAAGAAAATCAGAATTCAGCTGAATTTTTTTAGTGAGAATCTAGGGTTTCTTACGAAAAAAATTGAAGCTATAAAAAGGGTTGTCTGTAGACAAAAAAAAAAAAAATAATAATTTAGGTTTTTTTCGATTCGAAATTAATCACTTAAATTTTTTTATAAAGCAAAAATGGAAAGAAAATCGGAATTCAGCTGAATTTTTTTTGTGAGAATTTAGTGTGTCTTGCGAAAAAAAAAATTGGAGCTAAAAAAGGGTTGTCTATAGACAAAAAAAATCAATTCGATTCGAAATTAATCACTTAAATTTTTTTATAAAACAAACATGGAAAGAAAATCGGAATTCAGCAGATTTTTTTTCAAAGAGAATCTAGGGTTTCTTACGAAAAAAAATTGAAGCTATCTGTAGACAAAAAAATCAATTCGATTTGTTCGATTCGAAATTAATCACTTAAATTTTTTCATAAAGCTAAAATTGAAAGAAAATCGGAATTCAGCGGAATTTTTTTTTTTTTTTGAGTGAGACTCTAAGGTTTCTTATGAAAAAAAATTGAAACTGCAAAAGGGTTGTCTATAGACAAAAAAAAAAAAAAAATTAATTCGATTCGAAATTAATCACTTAAATTTTTTATAAAACAAAAATGGGAAGAAAATCGGAATTCGGCTGATTTTTTTTTGTTTTTCTAGGGTTTTTTAAGGAAAAAATTTGAAGGTATAAAAAGGGTTGCCTGTAGACAAAAAAAATCCATTCGATTTTTTTTTTGTGGCAAAAGTCAATTCAGCTCATTTTTTAAATAGAGAAATCCAATTTATTTAGAAATTTTTAAAAAAATCCTCAATTCAGCAAAGTTTTAGGCTAGGTTTTAGTAGAATAAAGAAGAAGAAAAAATATAATTTTGCTAAATTTTCATAAGGTACCCCCCAATTCCGCTAGGTGTTTACACTAATTCAGCAAGGTTTTTTTTAAAGCAACAATTCAGCGAAAATTTTAAAATGAAACCCTCGATTAAGCTTAGCCTTGAAGAACTCGATTCAGCTAGGCTTTTACCAAGAACTATTTAATTCAGCTAGGTTTTAAAGCAAAAAATTTAATTCAGCTAGGTTTTTCAAAATACTCTATTCAACTAAAAAAAGAAAATCAGATAGGTTTTTATAGGAAGTCTGGAAAAATCCAATTCAGTGAAGTGTCCATAAGTAGTCTATTCATTTAGTTTTTTTTTAAAGGAAACTCTAGTCAAAAATTCATTTATAGAAAATAGCGTAGCTCTCAATATTTCCTATAAATGAATCAGACAATTTGACAAATATTTCCGATACAATGTAACAAAATTTTTTATTTATAAAAAAAGAAAAAAGTTTTCTATTCAAAAATCCAATTTTTTTCTCTAGAAAAATCTTAATTTCGTGAAAGTTTTCTATAGAAAAATCTAATTTCGTGAACTTTTTCTGTAGAAAAATCCGATTTCGTGAAATTTTTCTATAGAAAAAGAATTTTTTATGGAAAAATCCAAATTCGTCAAATGTTTCTATAGAAACATCCAATTTCGCGAAAATTTTCTATAGAAAAATCGAATTTCGTGAAAGTTTTCTATGGAAAAATCTACTTCAGCAAAATTTTTCTATAGAAAAATGTACTTCAGCAAAATGTTTCTATAGAAAAATACACTTCAGGAAAACTTTTCTATAGAAAAAACCACTTTAGGATTTTTTTCTATAGAAAAATCTACTTCAGCAAAATTTTTCTGTAGAAAAATACACTTCAGCATAATTTTTCCATAGAAAAATCCATTTCAGAAAAATTTTTTTATAGCAAAATATACTTCAGCAAAATTTTCTATAGAAAAATCCAATTCAAATAAATTTTTCCATGGAAGAATCCAATCAAACAAAATTTTTCTATAAAAGAATTCGATTTTTCTGCGATTATTTTTTTATTGAGAAAATATTTTTAGCAAAAATCTATTTAATTCAATTTTTCCATTGGATGTTTAAATTCCGCATAATTTTCCTACAGAAAAATTCGATTCCGAAAAATTTTTCATTAGGAAAAAATCAATATCAAAATCAAAATCAAATATGTTCAATAGATACATAAATTTAAAGAATATTTGTTTTATAGAAAAATTTAATTTTGGAATTTTTCTTACAGAAATAGATTTTTCTATAGAAAAATTGAATTCAATTCAGAATACTTTTTTCCAAAGGAGAAGTTATTTCATGCCACTTTTCCATAGAAACATGTAATTCCCCGAGGGTTACTATAGCATAAATCACTGTAGTGGTTTTCTTTCTATGGAAGAGGCTAAATGCTATTCTTTCCATAAAAAATGAAAATTTTCAAAATTTGGCTGATTGCAATTTTCTCTATAGAAAAATATGGATGAATAAAATTTTTTCTATAGAAAAAAAATATGGATGAATAAAATTTTTTTTATAGAAAAATGTATCGGAAAACAATTTTTTTATAGAAAAATGTATCGGAATACATTTTTCTATAGAAAAATGTAACGGATTGCAATTTTTCTATAGAAAAATGTAACGGATTGCAATTTTTCTATAGAAAAATGTAACGGATTGCAATTTTTCTATAGAAAAATGTAACGGATTGCAATTTTTCTATAGAAAAATGTAACGGATTGCAATTTTTCTATAGAAAAATGTAACGGATTGCAATTTTTCTATAGAAAAATGTAACGGATTGCAATTTTTCTATAGAAAAATGTAACGGATTGCAATTTTTATATAGAAAAATTTAACGGATTGCAATTTTTCTATAAAAAAAGTCTTCCAAGTTGACCTTTTCTCTAAAACAAAATTTACTGAACTTCTTTTTCAAATAGTCTTGTCTAACCATAATTGTGTCTTTTTCCATAGAAAAAAAAAACAAAAAAAAAAAAAATAAATTGAATTTTCATCAAAAAAATTAATTGATTTTCTATAAAAATTTGAAATTTTCTATAAAAATTTGAAATTTTTTCTATAAAAATTTGAAATTTTCTATAAAAATTTGAAATCTTCTATAAAAATTTGAAATTTTTTCTATAAAAATTTGAAATTTTCTATAAAAATTTGAAATTTTTTCTATAAAAATTTGAAATTTTGAAATTTTCTATGAAAATTTTCAAATTTTCTATGAAAATTTTGAAATTTTCTATGAAAATTTTCAAATTTTCTATGAAAATTTTGAAATTTTCTATGAAAATTTTGAAATTTTCTGTGAAAATTTTGAAATTTTCTATAAAAATTTAATTTTTTTCTATAAAAATTTGAAATTTGCTATAAAAAATTTGAAATTTGCTATAAAAAATTTGAAATTTGCTATAAAAAATTTGAAATTTGCTATAAAAAATTTGAAATTTGCTATAAAAAATTTGAAATTTTCTATAAAAAATTTGAAATTTTCTATAAAAATTTGAAATTTTCTATAAAAAATTTGAAATTTTCTATAAAAATGTGAATTTTTTTATAAAAATTTGAAATTTTCTACGAAAATTTTGAAATTTTCTATAAAAATTTGAAATTTTCTATAAAAATTTGAAATTTTCTATGAAAATTTTGAAATTTTCTATAAAAATTTGAAATTCTATAAAATTAGACAACTCGTCTATTTTCTATAGAAAAGAAATTTTCAATTCGTGTTTTTTATATAAAAAATTGGCTGAATTCTATATTCCATAGAGACATTTTAATAAATCGATGTGAAGAATATTGACGAATTGAACTTTTTCATACCCCCAATAATGCCATGTCATCGTCGCTCATATACATAAGAACAACCTGTATGTATGTTTTCTTTGATTGTTTGTATGTGTTTTTTTTTTGGACAGCATATTTGTGGTCTCGTCCACCTTCAGTGGAGTCTGGCTGCATTTGTAAAATGCAGCAAGACTTTTGCCGGAGGCGAGCGTAGCGGAGGGGACAACAACTTGATTATTTTTTCTTCGATTTAGGTTTTCATTTAAGTTAAGCAATATTTGTTTCATAGTGTAACTAGAATTATGTGTATATGTATGTATGTGTAGCCAGCCGTCTGTATGTATGTAAGTGACTTGTTTTGTTGCAAACGTCATTTTTTATCTGAAATTGTAATTTTTTTGTCTTAAAATGTAAATTACGTACTTTTTTAATTTATTAAAGAATGTTTTTTTTTTATTATTTTTATTATAATAGTCTTAAGCCATAATTATACTCAACGAATGAATGATTGGCCACCAGTTCTGTGAAACGCCAAGTGTTTGGATTTTTGTTTTGAAAATCTCCACAAGAAGTGGTG